CAACAGGAATCATTGTGCACTTATTCCCCATGCAGGACTTCTGTCCTCAGTGAGTTGTATTATGAAAGCTAACTGTTAAAACTTGTTCTCAGTTTTGTTTTGTATATGTGTGTGTACAAATTGTTGAAATCTTTACTTAGTATAGAGTTGATCTTCTGTGTACAAAGTTAATTGAAAATGAATCTTAATGGAGAATGGGACTGGAAGAGGGAGGGGTGTGGGTGGGAGGGCCAGTATGTTGGGAAGAATAACTATATTCCTAAAGTTGTACTTATGAAATTTGTATTCCTTATAAGATAAAGAAAGTAGTAACTCAGTAAAAAATGGGCTGAGAACATCAGTGCCAGAGGTGAAATGCTAATGCCATGTTGTGTTAAATCTGCAAGTATAGATTATGATCCACTTCTCTCTGCACTTGGTATTCTTTCCTTGGACTCAGATATCAAACCTTCTGTGCCTGAATAATATGTATCATGTTTTTACATCAAGTAGGAAATTTTTTACACGATCTCTTCCCATTTATTTTATTTTTTAAAGATTTATTTGAAAGGCAGAGCTAGAAGAAGAGCCAGGGAGAGAGAGATCTTCCATCTGCTGGTTTATTCCCCATATGGCCTCATGGCCAGGCCTGAGCCAGGCTGAAGCCAGAATCCTGGAACTCCATTTGGATCTCACGTGGGTGGCAGGGGTCAAAGCACTTGAGCCATTTTCCCCTGCATTCTTAGGCACATTAGCAGGGAGCTGGATTGGAAACAAAGCAGCCTGGACTCAAACTGGTGCCTGTATGAGATGCCTATGGTACAGGTGGCTGCATAACCTGCTGCACCATGACACCAGCCCCTCCTCATTTATTCTTACAAATAATTTTTTTTTTCAAGTTCTTTAAGATAAGTATCTTGGGTTATTGGTTGGAATTACATTAACTCTACAACTTACTTGGCAATAGAGTTAACATCATTGTAATACCCAACCTTCCTATTCAGGATCCCAATATTTCTCTCCATCTGTAGAAACTGAGCTTCATTATTTTTTTTTTAGATTTATTTTATTTTATTTATTTTAAGGTACAATGACAGCGAGAAGGGGAGAGAGAGTGAAAGATCTAACATCAGCATGCTGATTCACTCCCCCAGATAACAGCAATGGTGGGGGGCTAGGCCAGACTGAAGCCAGAAACCCAGAACTCCATCTAGGTCTCTCCCATGTGGTTGGCAGGGGCCCAAGTACTTTAGCCATGAGCTTAAAACCACCATGTCATTCATGTTCTTCCCATGCTCAAAAACCCTTCCTGGTAGCCTTTCACTGTGTGTTTCCCGAATCTTTCCAGCTTCCACCGTACCGCCTGTCCTTAGCCTGGTTACGGGCTCCCTCTGTCACCCCGGACCTTGCTCATACGGCTGCTTCCGCCTTCTCCCCCATGCTGCTCCATCTCCTAGTTGTGCCAGCTCAAGGCCCATGCCCTTGACAACACCTCTTCCCACAGGGAGCATTTCCTCCCCTTCCTCCACAGCACAGCCATACAACTCATTTGACACTTACTTTGTACACTTATTCTGTTATTTTCTTAGTATTCCATTGTTTTCCTAATTGCAATTTAGTCTCTTTGGAGGTCACCTGGGCACCTGGTAGTAAGGAGATCACTAGGTTTTGCTCGGGACTTTCCCATTACTAGTGATTTCCTTATTTCCAGTTGACCTCCACAGTCTCATTTATTTAGTTAAGATTTATTTATTTGAAAGGCAGAGTTGCAGAGAGAGAGAGGAGAGAAAGAGATGTTCTGTTTGTTGGTTCACTCTCCAAATGGCCACAGCGATCATGGCTGGGCCACACCGAAGCCAGGAGCTTTCTCGAGATCACCCACATGGGTGGCAGGGGCCCAAGCACATGGGCCGTCCTCCGCTGCTTTCCCAGGCACATTAACAGGGAGCTGAACCGGAATTGGAGCAGCTGGGACTCGAACTGGCACCTACATGTGATGCTGGTGCTGAGGCAACAGCTTAACCCAGTAGGCTAAAGCACCAGCCCATCCCTGTTTGTTTTGAAAGCTTGCAGATACCACTTCTCCCTCATTTCCTTATTTCCTTTGCTGTACTGCTCAGTTGCCCTTCCTGTGTGTCTGTTGAGCACTTACAGTGTGGCACATCCCATTGCTGATGGTCTGCAAGCACAGAAAACCACTGGTTTCAAAGCTTCAATACTAAAGAATGACTGAAGAATTCTCACGTAAATTAAATATTGATATGTATTGGCTATATTTGATTGAATAAAGTACATTATTTCAATTAAGCTCACTGGTTTCTTTGCTCCTGAAAGTTTTTTTAGTGACACAGTCGCTCACGCTTGTGTTGTGTTGGACAGTGCTGATCCAGAGCACTCAACTGAGTGACTCACGGGAGGTGCATCCAAATCCTTGGTTATTTGAAGTAAATGAAAAGAAACAGCCAGGGCTGGTGTGATGCTGCCGCTTGCAGTGCCAGCTTGTGCTGCTGGCATTCCATATCAGTGCCTGTTCAAATCCCAGCTGCTCGGCCGGCGCCGCGGCTCACTAGGCTAATCCTCCACCTGCGGCGCCGGCACTCCAGGTTCTAGTCCCGGTCGGGGCACCGGATTCTGTCCCGGTTGCTCCTCTTCCAGGCCAGCTCTCTGCTGTGGCCCAGGAGTGCAGTGGAGGATGGTCCAAGTGCTTGGGCCCTGCACCCCATGGGAGACCAGGAGAAGTACCTGGCTCCTGCCATCGGATCAGCATGGTGCGCCGGCCGCAGCAGCCATTGAGGGGTGAACCAACGGAAAGGAAGACCTTTCTCTCTGTCTCTCTCTCTCTCACTGTACTAAATAAATAAATAAATAAATAAATAAATAAATATAAATCCCAGCTGCTCTACTTCTGTTCCAGCTCGCTGCTAATGCTCCTGGGAAAGCAGTGGAAGATGGCCCAAGTCCTTGGGCCCCTGACACTCATGGGTGAGACTCAGGTGGAATTCCTGGCTCCTAGCTTTAGCCTGGCTTCCCAGATGGCTGTTGTGGCCATCTGGGAAATAAACCAACGGATGAAAGATCTCTCTCCCTGTCTTTCTCACTCTGCCTTTCAAGTGAGTAAATAAGTAAGTAAGTAACTGAATAAATACATTTTTCAATAGAAAAGGAAGAAGCAGCCCATTTCATTGCAGTGGTTTTCACTGTGTGCCACCTGTTTTTTCTTTGGTTGCTGGAGAGCGCAGTTCTTCTCTACTACTAGGTAGAAGGCAGATCCAGGAAACAGAAACTGAGAAACTCATCTGAATGTGAAATAAGCTCCAAACGCAGGCTTCGCACTTTGTAAAAGAAAAGGCCTGAGAGAGCAGGGGAGAGAATTTGGCTAGCTAAAAAAGAAAAGGATGTTAAACCAGTTTAATGTTAACCTCATCTAAATCTAAAGCTTTCACCAGTAAATGATAAAAATAAATCTTTGTTTCAAAATTAAAATGTGAATATTAAAAATAAAAGCTGGTTATTATAGAAAAACTAAGGAGTTGAGAGGATGAGCTTTACAAGGAGCAAAAAAAAAAAAAACGACAAAAAAATAGATAAATTGCTTCTTCTGATCAAATTAATATCAAATTTTTTATTTGAAAGGCAGAGTTACAGAGAGGCAAAGAGAGAGAGGGAGGGAGGGATGGCTACAACAGCCGGAGCTTGGCCAATCCGAAGCCAGGAGTCTGGAGCTTCTTCTGGGCCTCCCGCATGGGTACAGGGGCTAAAGGACTTGGGCCATCCTCTGCTGCTTTCCCAAATGCATTAGCAGAGAGCTGGAATGAAAGTGGAACTGCTGGGACTCGAACCTGCACATGTGGTATACTAGCAGTGCAGGTAGTGGCTTTACGCTCTGTGCCACAGCACCAGCCCCCAAATTAACAAACTGGAGAAGTCTGCCTCTTCCTGACACATAATAGGGATTTTTCCAACAGCCAACTTTTTGCCCCCTCTCTCTGCCTCTTGCCTTAGGTTTCTTTTCTTCTGTTTGCTGTTTAAAAAATTGATGTCCTACCTTCTATTCTTTCTCACCTATTTAAGAGTAATACTGATTTAATATAATTAAATTTAAATTTAAATACATTAGTCATTCCTTTCGATTCTAGAATTTACTTTTTTTAAGAAAATATATTTATTTATTTATTTGAGTTACACAGAGAGAGAGAGAGATCTTCCATCCACTGATTCACTCCCCAAGTGGCCACAAAGGCTGGAGCTGTGTCGATATGAAGCTAGGGTCCAGGAGCTTCTTCGGGTCTCCCACATGGGTGCAAGGGCCCAAGGACTTGGGCCATCTTCTATTGCTTTCCCAGGCCATAGCAGAGAGCTGGATTGGAAGTGGAAGCTGGAATTCAAAGCAGCGCCCATATGGGATGCCAGCACTGCAGGCGGTGGCTTTACCTGCTATACCACAGTGCCATCCCCTAGAATTTACTTTTTTAAAAAATTATTTATTTATTTGAAAAGCAGAGTGACAGAGAGATAGAGGGAGACATGGGAAGAGAGAGATCTTCCATCCTCTGGTTCACTTCCCAAATGGCAGCACTGGCCAGAGCTGGGCCAATCCAAAGCCAGGAGCCAGGAGCTTCTTCTGCGTCTCCCACGTGGGTGGCGTGGGCTCAAGCACTTGGGCCATCTCCCACTGCTTCCCCAGGCACTTCAGCAGGGAGCTGGATTGAAAGTGGAGTAACTGGGACTCAAACTGGTGCCCATATGGGATGCTGGCGCTTAACCCACTATGCCACAGTGCCAGCCTAAGGAACAAACGATTTTACTAATTTTTTAGTTATTTTTAATGAATTCATTAATTTTTTCTTTCATTAACCCATTTTAAAAAATACAAAATAAGTTGCTTTTCTATTTGGGCCCCCTATTATTATTATTTTTTCCTGTCTGGGAATTGAGAATCTCTCTTGGAGGAAGTACCATTACCATCTGTGTTGAGTGGAGTTAGTGTGACCAAGAAATCCCACTTTCCCATTTCTCACCAGTGGTGTTACTGACAGATGTCTTTCATACTGCAGAGAAGATGGAAAAAAGGACATGTGCACTCTGCCCCAGAGACCTCGATTACGGTGTCCTGTATTTTGCACGATCAGAGAAAATAGCCGCTCATGAAAATTGCTTGGTAAGTGTCTTGACAATATAGCACATAAGTACTTTTAGGATAGAACATACCAGAATAGATAAATGGTACATTAGATACACAAAATAATGGGTTGGCCATGGTTGGGGCTTTTAAGTGAGGATTCAGAAGCATATTTTTCCAACTTAAAACTGATCCAAATCTTACCACTTTATGGTTACTTTAATTTATAATTGTTCAGACACAAAGTCAAAGAATTGTGGTGACGAAGCTTTACTAAAGATATTTTAATAACGTGTTTCAAATATAAGATGCCAGTAAACCTTCCACTCAAATAGAACTTAGGATTGATTGACTTATTCAAAAGGCAAAGTTAGAGAGAGAAGGAGAGACTGAGGTCTTCCTTCCACTGGTTCACTCCCCAAATGGCTGCAATGGCCAGAGCTGGGCAAATCCAAAGCCAGGAGCTTCTTCCAGGTCTCCCACGCAGGTGCAGGGGCCCAAGGACTTGGGCCATCTTCTACTGCTTTCCCATGCCATAGCAGAGAGCTGGATCAGAAGTGGAGCAGCTGGGACTAGAACCGGTGCCCATATGGGATGCTGCCACTGTAGGAGGTGGCTTTATCCACTATGCCACAGTGCCGGCCCCTCATGTTTTATCTTATATGTAGGCTTTCAAACTTCATAATGTTTTCTGTCAGTTATGTTTGTAATGTAGTTTAATTCATCATTATTTTCCTTTATAATTTGTTGGGGTTTTCCCCCTTAGAAATTCTTTTCTATAATAATATTCTATCTTTTGTTCCTCACATGTTAAAATTCTGCTTTTTCATTTAGTTTCTTAATAGAATTGGAATTTTAATTTTTTTTTAATTTGACAGGTAGAGTTATAGACAGTGAGAGAGGGAGACAGAGAGAAGGGTCTTCCTTCCGTTGGTTCACTCCCCAATGGCCGCCACAGCCGGTGCTGTGCCGATCCAAAGCCAGAAGCCAGGTGCTTCTCCTGGTCTCCCATGCAGGTTCAGGGCCCAAGGGGCCATCCTCCACTGTACTCCTGGGCCATAGCAGAGAGCTGGCCTGGAAGAGGAGCAACCAGGACTAGAACCCGGCGCCCATATAGGAGGCCAGCACTGCAGGGCGAGGATTAACCAAGTGAGCCACGGCGCTGGCCCAGAATTTTAATTTAAACACCAATTTAATTTACTGAATTTAAATTTTAAGCAGAAAGCTAATTTTGTTTTTCTGTACAGTGAACAGTTTTTCTGCACCACAATAATCTATACTTTTCTCATCAATTTGTAATAATAGTAATGATAACTATTATTATTTGACACAAAGTAATGTTCTGGTAGCTGTACCTACATTGAAGTATTAACCGTTATAGCAGTCCTAACAGGCTGGTATGATTAGTATCCCCAGACCGAAGATGAAACAGCCAAGAACCAGGGTCTTGTGGCTAGTTAGTTGTCAAGCCAGGATCCTTACCCAGGCAGTTCGGTTCTAGAACCGCAATGCTCACTCAGGGTGTAGCAGTACCATTTGTCATGTGTGCACAGTCAGTTTCTCACTCTCAAACCCTGAGCTGATATAACACTACCTTATTTACTGCCGCTTCCCAACAAACTGTCTGTAGCTTTGGGGCTTTGAATTTTAGAACCAGCTTTTTAAATTTTACAAAGGTTTCTTTTATAATTTTCAATGGCACTGCATTGAATTTATAGATCAATTTGGGAAAAACAGGCATCGTCATAATATTTGAGTCTTCTCATCCATTAACAGGATCTCTTTGTCCAGTTTTTAAGACCTTTTTAAACGAGCTGTTGTTGGTATATAACAGGCATAGGGAATGTCTAGCCCACGGGCCATATAAGGTCTGTGAAATGATTTGGTCTGACCCTTCCAAGGCAACCACATATGGGACTTCAAATTCAGTAAATCTATAGCAGGCTAATGCTTAAGTTGATAACAAGTAATGTTACGAATATCTAGATGGCCCTTGGCAGAAGAAAAGGTTCCCCACCCCTGGTACATGCAAACACTGTTGATTTTTACTTACTGATCTCATTGAACAACCTTGCCAGATTCTTGTTGTAAACATCTATAGATTCACCTGGATATTGTATTTCCACATTGCTCATCTGTAAATAGGATAGTTTATTTATTTCTTAGTTTGAGGGCTTCATAATCTCACTTTTCTTTTTTTATAAATTATATTTTCTAGAAAATTATAGTGACGATAATTAGAAGCAGTTAAAGTAGGGAGTACTGTCTTGTTTTTAATATTAATATTTAGGAGCTTCTAAAGTCTTATTGAATTTGTATATGCTTTAGATTGTTTTTAAAGATTTATTTACATATTTGAAAGGCAGAGTTAGAGAAGAAGAGATAGAGAGAGATCTTCCATCCACTGATTCACTCCCCAAATGGACCAGGCCAAAGGCAGCAACCTGGAACTCCATTCAGGCTCCACTGGATAGCAGGGGCCCAAGCACTTGAACCATCTTCCATTACTTTCCCAGGCATATTGGCAGGGAGCTGGATCAAAAGTAGAGAAGCCAGGACAAGGACGCATGCCTATACGGGATGCCAGCATTACAGGCTATGGTTTAACCTACTGCACTGCAACACCAGCCTTTGCTTTAGATTTGTAATGGTTTCATTTTATTAAAACAATGAAGTAAACCTTCTGTATCTAATCTGTTAAAGAATATTATGGCAGTCGTTTGGCACAGCATTTAAAACTCTGCTAGGAGACCTACATTCCATATAGGAGTGCTTGAGTTTGAGTAATAGCTCTGCTCTTGATTCCCGCTTCCTCCTATGCACACCCTGGGAGGCAGCAAAAGAAGCTCAAGTACTTGTATACCTGCAACCTATGTGGGAGTTCTGGGTTGAGTTCTAGGAGCCTGGCTTCGACCTGGCCCAACCCCGGGCTATTGTAAGCATTTAGATAGTGAACCATCAGAGGGAAGGTACCTCCCTGCCTCTCTATCATTCAAATAATAAGTAAATAAATACTTTTTTGAAATTGAGCTTTGAATATTATGAAACACTTGTTCTGCTGTCTATTGAAATGGTCTGATTTCTTTCTTGTTTCTTCTGTGGCCACAAACAGTGCTAGATGCTGTATTTTATTTATATATGGCCATCACTGTGGCATAGCCAGTAAAGCTGCCACCTGCAGTGCGAGAATCCCATATGGGTACCAGTTCAAGTCCAGGCTACTCCTTTTCCAATCTAGCTTCTCCTCCATGGCCTGGGAAAGCAGTAGAGGATGGCCCAGGTGTTTGGGCTCCTGCACCCACTTGGGAGACCCAGAAGCAGCTCCTAGCGTTGGATCGGCCCAGCTGCAGCTATAGCAGCCATCTGGGGAGTAAACCGGCAGATAGAAGACTTTTCTCTCTGTTTATCCCTCTCTCTGTAATTCTGTCTCTCAAATAAATAAAATCTTTAAATATATATGTGTGTGTGTGTGTGTGTGTATACATTTACACAGTTTGAAGATTTTTTAAAAATATCTCAAACTTAAAGAAAAAATGCACATATAGTACAAATAACTTTTCTTTTTGGCCAGAACCATTTTAAATTAAACGATGTGTCATCTTTCCCTAATAATTTAGTATTTTTTTTCGGCAAGAACCTTCTTTCCCATAGCACACTATAGCCACTAAGATCAGGAAACTAACATCATTACATTGCTGCTGCCTAATCCTCAAGCAGCTTTCATGTGTTGTCCTAATTGCAGAAGAGTCTAGTCTAGGACTTGCACTTAGTTTTCATGTCTCAAGATTTTTTTTTAAGATTTATTTATTTATTTGAAAGAGTTATACAGAGAGAGAAGGAGAGGCAGAGCGAGAGAGAGAGGTCTTCCAACTTCTGGTTCACTCCCCAAATGGCTGCAACGGCCGGAGCTGCGCCGATCCGAAGCTAGCAGCCAGGAGCCTCTTCCAGGTCTCCCATGTGGGTGCAGGGGCCCAAGGACTTGGACCATCTTCTACTGCTTTCCCAGGGCATAGCAGAGAGCTGGATGGGAGGTGGAGCAGCCAGGACTCGAACTGGCGCCCGTCTGAGATGTGGGCATTACAAGCGGAGGCTTTACCCACTATGCCGCAGCATTGGCCCCTCTAATATACTATTAATGTTGATTTGCTGCTGTTAAGTTTATTGATATAACTTACATGAAACAAGCTGTACTCTTTTTCAGTGTCGTTTTGAAGTTTTGAGACTCATCTGTACCTATGTATCCATTACCATGATCAAGATATGGAACATTTCCATTACTCCAGAAGGTTCCCTCAGCCTTCTGTGTAATCACTTCCTTTCTACCCTAAGTCCCTATTGACTGGCCTTTTCTGTTTGCAAATTTCCTATGAAAGAATCCCTATGGTATATACTCTTGTATCTGGCTTCCTTTGCTCCTTGCAGTAATTTTGAGATTCATCCCTGTTTTTGTATGTATCTGTATTTTGTTCCTTTCTATTTCTCCATAGTGTTCCATTGCATGAATAGATCAGTTTCTTTAGCCATTCATCTATTGTTTCCAATTTGGGGCTCTTAAGTCTGTAATGAACATCTATATATGAGTCCATATGCTTTTTTTTTTTTTTTAAGATTTTCTTTAATTATTTGAGAGGTAGAGTTACAGACGATGAGAGGGAGAGACAGAGAGAAAGGTCTTGCTTCTGCTGATTTGCTCCCTAAATGTCCACAACAGCTGGAGCTATGCCGATCTGAAGCCAGGAGCCCGGAGCTTCTTCCCGGTCTCCCACGCGACTGCAAGGGCCCAAGGACTTGGGCCATCTTCTACTGCTTTCCCAGGCCATAGCAGAGAGCTGGATCAGAAGTGGAACAGCCAGGACTCACACCGGTGCCCATATGGGATGCTGGCACTGCAGGCAGCAGCTTTACCCACTACACCACAGCGCTGGCCCTGAGGAATCCAAGTACTTGAGTCATCCCCCTGCTGCCTCCCAGGCACATTAGCAGGAAGCTGCATCAGAAGCAGAGGTGGAGCTGTATCCCAGGCACTCTGATGTTGGATGTGGACATCCCAAGCAGCAGGTTACCCCACTGCACCAGAGCACCTACCCTACTTTTTCCTATATTCTTGATATGAGTCATTTGTCATATATTTTGTGACTATTTTCTCACAAGGCCTTGCCTTTTAATTTTCTTTGCGGTGTCTTTCAGACAGCAAAAATACTTAATTCTGTTGAATTCTAACTCTTTTCTTCATGGTTTTTGCTTTTTATAAGATACCTTTAGCTATGTCAGTTTCACAAGAAATCTTATATTTTCCATGCCCCCTGTTGTTTAACCAGATATGTAATACTGATTTTCAGTTAGAAGTTAGGTTGGATTTTTTTTTTTTTTTAATCTAAGAGGCAGAGTTACAAACAGAAGGAGAGACGGAGAGTTCTTCCATCCACTGGTTCACTCCCCAAATGGCCACAATGGCTGGAACTGAGCCAAACTGCAGCCAGGAGCCTGGAGTATCTTCCAGATCTCCCTTGCAGGTGCAGGTGCAGGAGCCCAAGCTCTTGGGCCATTGTCCACTGCTTTTCCAGGCCATCAGAAGAGAGCTGGATTGGAAGTGAAGCTGCTGGGCATGAACTGTCCCCCATATAGGATGCTGATGTGACAAATGGAGGCTTAGCCTACTATGCCACAACACCAGTGCTAGGTTGTATTCTTAGGGTTTCATGCAGCACCAAGAAACTTGAAGTGATCTACACCTAAGAGGGTAGCTGTGGTAAGTTCTGAGGGCATTTCATAGCTCCTGAGGGCAAGCGCACAGGTGCCAGAAAGCCGTCAGGGATGTCCTCTCGAGCCCTCTCTTTTCTTTCTTTGCAGATTGGCTTGTCCTAACCACATGGCTTCAGGTATTTCTGAGTCTGTTCTACACTCCTGGGATAGGGAATCAGTTTCACAACTTGATGTCAGGGTCTGCCCAGGTCCAGTGAGCTGTAATTAGAGTATAAAACACATCTGGGAATTGGGGTCTCTCCCAAAGAAATGGGGTGGCTTCTGTGGTCTGCTCATACATCTGAAAAGGTTGTCACTGCTCCATCCTAATCCCGCTGCCATTCCTGCTGAGTATCTCAGGTACCATTTGCTGACTTGTTTTTAATAACTCTGGAATTTTTCCCTCTGATCTGCAGTTATATTCCTCAGCACTTGTGGAATGTGAGGATCATGATCCACATAATCATGGTAGAAATTTTGATGTGGAATCAGTAAAGAAAGAAATCCACAGAGGAAGGAAGTTGGTAAGTAGAAGTGATTTTATTAACTCACGTAGGATGACCATATTTTCAGGGAATGCATTCAAAAGAAAGTCTGAATGATAAAGCAGGGACAGAGAAACATCTGGGAGAGCTGGAAGAAGTGGGACCTGTTTTAGAAGCTTAGATTCAAGTGAACATTTAGTGTTGTAGAACATGATTCGTCAGTAAAGTTGGTAAGAGCTGCAGAGCGCCTACCTGTGAGTAGAAGAAAACCTCAACTCAAACTGGCTTTAACACAGAGCAGGCTTATTTCCTCCTTAACCAGAGGGGAAGCTGGCCTCAGGTTTAGTTCAGTGTCTAAACGTGTCATCGGGGGTTTATGTTCTTCTTTGTGCTCCTGCCTCTGATATCGCCTGGTCCCCTCGTGGTGATAAGGTGGCTGCAGTCAGAATCTGGCGCTTCAGGCTTTCTGGTTCACAGTGTAAAAGGAAGTTCCTGTTTTTTATATAGTCAGATCTGTCTTTTTCTTTGTGGATTCTGGGTTTTCTGCCTGCCTTTGATAGTATCCTCAGTGCCATGCTTTTTTCTTTCTCCTGCACCTCCTATTTTTTTTTTAAGTTTCTAAAATTCTGTTTATAGTATTCCTCCCCCCATATTTGTGGTATCACTTTCCATGACTGTAGTTACTCATTGTCAATGATGGCCTGAAAATATTAAATGGAAAATTCAGAAATAAGTAATTTAAGTCCTAAATAATTTTTATTATATTTTATTTTTGTAGTTATTCTATTTTATTATTGGTTAAAGTTAACTTCTTACTGTGCCTAATTTATAAATCGAACTTTACCATAAGTATGTATGTATTGGAAAAAATAAAGTATCAGTATATGTAGGGCTCTTTACTATCCAAGGTTTTAAACATCCACTGAAGGTCACAGAATATATTCACTGTGTACAATGGGACTGTTATTTGTAGTTAAAATTTTTCAAAGATTTATTTATTTACTTTGAAAGTAAGAATTAGAGATCTTCCATTTACTGGTTCACTCACCAGATGGCTACAATGGCCAGCACTGGGACTAGCCTGAGCCAGGATCTTCATCTGGGTCTCCCACATGAGTGGCAGTAGCACAAACACTTGGGTCATCTTGTGCTACTTTTCTCAGGCCATTAGCAGGGAGCTAGATGGAAAGTGGAGCAGCGGGACATGAACTAGAGTGCCAAAGCTGGAGCTAGGCCATTCAGGAACCAGGAGCTTCATCCGGGTCTCCCACATGGCTGCAGGGGCCCAAACATTTGGGCCATCTTCCACTGCTTTCCCACACCATTAGCAGGGAGCTGGATCAGACGTGGACCAGCCAGGACTTGAATCGGCACCAATATGGGATGCCAGCACTGCAGACAGGCTTATATGCCACAATGCCAGTCCCAGTAGTATATCTTAAAATTAAAATTTGGTGTTGCAATGTCTCTAGCTTTTTTTTTATTGTTTAAGAATGCTTTAGCTATTCAGGGTCTCTTGTGTTTCCATATGAATTTTAGCTTTTTTTTTTTTTTTGTCTAGATCTGAGAATAATGACATTGTATTTTTATTGGGATCACATTGAATCTGTAAATTGCTTTCAGTATTATGGACATTTTGATGATATTAATTCTTCCAATCCACAAACATGGAAGATTTTTCCATGTTTTTTTTTTTTATGTCTTCTGTTTCTTTCTTTAATATTTTATAATTTTCATCATAGAGATCTTTCATCTCCTAGGTTAAATTTATTCCAAAGTATTTAAAATTTCTTGTGGATATTGTGAATGGGACTGATCTTAAAAGTTCTTTCTCAGCCATGGCATTGTTACTGTATATGAAGACTGTTGAGTTTTGTGTGTTGATGTTATAACCTGCAACTTTGCCACACTCTCTTATGTGTTCCATTAGTCTCTTAGTGGCGTCGTTCAGCTCTGCTCTATATAGAATCATGTCATCTGCAGAGATCATTTGACTTTCTTCTTTCCAATTTGCATCCCTTTGATTTCTTTTTCTTGCCTAATGACTGGCTAAAACTTCTAAAACTATATTGAATAGCAGTGGTAAAAGTGTTCTACAATGAAAATTACAAAACATTAAGAAAAAGATAGAAGATGAGATACACAAAAAAATGGAAAAATCTTCCATGTTGGTGGATTGGGAGAATTAATATCATCAAAAGGTCCATACAACCTAACGCAATTTATAGATTCAGTGTAATCCCAGTAAAAGTACCAAGAACATTCTCTTCAGATTTAGAAAAAATGATCCTAAAACTCATATGGAAACACAAGAGACCAGACCATGAATAGCTAAAGCAATCTTAACAAAAAACGAAGTCAGAGGATCACAGTACCAAATTTCAAGACATACTACAGGGCCATTATAATCAAAACAGCATGGTACTGGAACAGAAATAGGCACATGAACCAGTGGAACAGAACAGAAACCCCAGAGATTAATTCATGCATCTACAACCAACTACTCTGATAAATGAGCTGAAATTACTCCCCGGAGAAAGGACGGTCTCTTCAACAAATGGGGTTGGGAAAATTGGATCTCGGCGTGCATAAATATAAAACAGACTCCTACATTACACCCCTTTACAAAAATCAGTTCACAGTGGATCAAGGATCTAGATCTAAGACCTGAAGCCATCAAATTACTAGAGGATAACATAGGGAAAACACTGCAAGTCATTGGCGCTGGCAAATACTTCTTGGATAATACACCGAAGCACAGGCAATAAAAGCAAAGATCGATAAGTAGGAGTACATCAAGCTGAGAAGCTTCTGGGGGACTGACGTTATAGTGTGGTGGGCATCCCATATGGGCATCAGTTTGTGTCCTGACTGATCCTCTTCTCTTTTTTCTTTTTAAGATTTATTTATTTGAAAGGCAGAGTTACTGCAAGTCAGAAAGAGAGGGAGAGAGAGAAAGAGGTCTTCTATCCACTGGTTCACTTCCCAGATGGCTGCACTGGTTGGAGCTGGACCAGTCCAAAGCCAGGAGCTTCTTCCAGGTCTCCCTTGTGGGTGCAGGGGACCAAGGACTTGGGCCATCTCCCACTGCTTTCCCAGGCCACAGCAGAGAACTGGATCGGAAGTGGCACTAATAGCCTGGGAAAAGCAGCAGAAGATGGCCCAAGTGTTTGGGTCCCTGTCACCCATGTGGGAGATGTGGATGAGGCTCCTGGCTTCAACCTGGCCTAATGCTGGCCATTGCAGCCATTTGGAGAGTGAACCAGCAGATGGAAGACCTCTCTCTCTCTCAGTGTCTCTCTCTATCCCTCCCCATCTAGCTGTCTCTCCCTCTATCTGTGTAACTCTTTTGAAAATAAATCAAATAAATCTTTATAAATGAAGAAGCTTCTGCCCAGCAAATGAAGTGCTCAGCTAAGTATAGAGGCAACTGACAGAATGGGAGAAGATATTTGCAAACTATGCAACTGATAAAGAATTAATTTCCAGAATATATAAGGAGCTCAAGAATCTCAACAACTAAAAAAACAGTCCAGTTAGGAAATGGACAAAGGACACAAAGAAGCAGATTTCAGTGGATGAAACACAGGTGGCCAATAGACATGTAAAAACATGCTAGGATCACTAGCCATCTCGGAAATGCAAATAAAACTCAGGAAGTGGTTTCATCTTAATCCAGGTATAATAGCTGTCATCAAAAAAAAAAATAGGCCAGCGCCGCGGCTCACTAGGCTAATCCTCCGCCTTGCGGCGCCAGCACACCGGGTTCTAGTCCCGGTCTGGGCGTCAGATTCTGTCCCGGTTGCCCCTCTTCCAGGCCAGCTCTCTGCTGTGGCCAGGGAGTGCAGTGGAGGATGGCCCAAGTGCTTGGGCCCTGCACCCCATGGGAGACCAGGAGAAGTACCTGGCTCCTGCCATCGGATCAGCGCGGTGCACCGACTGCAGCGCGCCAGCCGTGGCGGCCATTGGAGGGTGAACCAACGGCAAAGGAAGACCTTTCTCTCTGTCTCTCTCTCTCACTGTCCACTCTGCCTGTCAAAAAATAAATAGATAAATAAATCAAAAAATAACAACTGCTGGTGAGGATGTGGAGAAAAAGATAGCCTAATATACTGTTGGTTCAAATGTAAACTGGTAAAACCATTATGGAGGATAGTATGGAGATTCCTCAGAAATCTGAAAATAGATCTACCATATGACCCAGCCATCCAACTCCTGGGAATATACCCAAAGATAATGAAATCAGCATATGAAAGATTTACTTTATGCCCCATGTTTATAGCAGCTCAATTCATAATAGCTAAAATATGGAATCAACCCAGGTGTCTATCAACTGATGCCTGGATAAAGAAAAAATATATATACATGATGGAATACTACTCAGCCATAAAAATAATGAAATCCTATCTTTTGCAACAAAATTGATACAGCTGGAGACCATTAAGACAAATATCACATGTATGGCCTCATTTGTGGTAGCTAATATATAGAGTAAAAAAATTAATATACGAGTAAAATTGTTGGGAGTCTTAAGCCTGAGGCTGGCCCCTGGCCAGCAGGGGACAGCACAGGCACTCCCCAACAGGGCAAATGGGAGAGGTAAGGTCGACAGGTGATGAACACACCACAAGCACCCGTGAGTTCTGTCGAAGCAGGAACCGCTTTATTGAAGAAGTATACAGGCTTATAAAGCTTACTTTAAGACATGTGCAGTAGGGGAGCCAATCAGCGAAAAGGTCATGCAGGCACGGGTGGACCACGCACAGGGGCACCTTAAGCAAAGTACAGGGATCACGCACTGTCCACGTGTCCGGAACTAAAGCAGACCTATCCAGTGAATATATTCTGCAACCTCCTGTGGATGTGTAAAACCTTGGATAGTAAAGAGACCTCTTTATCTTTCTCCCTCTCTTTCTGACTTGCAGTAACTCTGCCTTTCAAATAAATAAATAAATAAATCTTTAAAAGAAAAAAAGAAGTGGATCAGCCAGGACACAAACTGATACCCATATGGGATGCCTACCACACTATAACATCAGTCCTCCAGAAGCTGATCTGATCTCAAGTAGCTTAAACACAGCAGCCACAGACACGCCCCTCAAACATCCTCCAGGTGACATATTGTAATGGAGATTTTAGGCAATGCCCAACATGAAATTGGTATCTTGGATTTGATTTTTATCTATAGCCCTTGTTTGTATTCCTGCTGAACACTGATCTTTCTCCTTTTTATTTGTTGAACTGTTTATTCAGTGGAGCATTAAGCCTTTGAATATAAAGTAAATTAAAAATACATTATCGGGCCGGCGTCGCGGCTCACTAGGCTAATCCTCCACCTAGCGGCGCCAGCACACCAGGTTCTAGTCCCAGTCGGGGCGCCGGATTCTTTGCCGGTTGCCCCTCTTCCAGGCCAGCTCTCTGCTGTGGCCAGGGAGTACAATGGAGGATGGCCCAAGTGCTTGGGCCCTGCACCCCATGGGAGACCAGGAGAAGCACCTGGCTCCTGGCTTCAGATCAGCGCGGTGCGCCGGCCGCAGCGCGCCGGCCGTGGCAGCCATTGGAGGGTGAACCAACGGCAAAAAGAAGACCTTTCTCTCTGTCTCTCTCTCACTATCCACTCTGACTGTCAAAAAAAAAAAAAACATTATCACGGGGCGGGTGCTGTGGTGCATTGGGTTAATGTCCTGGCCTGAAGTGCTGGCATCCCATATGGGCATCGGTTCTAGTCCCGGCTGCTCCTCTTCCAATCCAGCTCTCTGCTATGGCCTGGGAAAGCAGTAGAAGATGGCCCAAGTCCTTGGGCTCCTGCACCCACATGGGAGACCCGGAAGAAGCTCCTGGCTTCGGATGGGTACAGCTCCAGCCATTGCGGCCAATTGGGGAGTGAACTATCGGATACAAGACCTCTCTCTCTCTCTGCCTCTCCTTCTCTCTCTGTGTAACTCTGACTTTCAAATAAATAAAATCTTAAAAAAAAAATACATTATCAGAAAAAATTTTAAAAAGAAAGGAAGAAGGGAGGGAGAGAAATATGATATTCTTGGGATTGTATCTATGAACTACTTGAAATCTGTTTTCTTTATATTAATAAAAAGTTAATAATTCTCTGTCTTCCTCTCTGTTGCTCTGCCTTTCAGATAAATATATCTTTAAATAAAAGCAAGACATCAAATAAACTGAATTAGGAAAAAGTGGTATTACTCAGATTTATTAAAATTATTTTTTGATATGCTGTATAGATTTCAAAGAAGTTTCCTTTCCTTTCTCTCCTGTTCTCTTCTGTAACAGCGCCGCAGGCAGGGATCGCTCCCCCGGGGGAAGATGAGTAGTCACATAGCTCGTAGCAGCACAACCAGGGGCTGCTCTCGCATCAGGTCCAGTGTTCCTGATACCTTGCCTAGTCTGCCAGCTCTGCTTCTCAGAAATCTTGCAAAAAGAGGGAAAGAGATTGTGTTTTGAGATAAAAAGTGTTGGGCTTTTAATCAGCTCATTACAGAACAGTCCAAGTCAAGCATCCTAATTATCTGAGATTTTGCTGAAATATTAGATGAACGGGCGTGTGTAAGTTCCTAATGTTTATAGCTCAGGGTGGAATTTTACTAATAACATCCAGAATTATGAAACAGGTCTGCTGACTTAAATTATCTTTAATGATATCTTTCATTTTAAATGTTAACAAAGATTATGAAAACCAGTACTTAGTGACATCTCTTCTTCTGTAGAAATGTACGTTTTGTGGTAAACGAGGAGCCACCGTGGGATGTGATTTAAAATACTGTGCCAAGAATTACCACTTTTTCTGTGCCAAGATGGACAATGCCTTTCCACACAGTGATGAAGCTCAAGGAATTTATACGTATGTACTAAAATAATTTTAAAGTCACATCTAGGGGATTAGGATAAGGAATAGTTAGGCTAAGATAAAGGAGACGTTTAAAGCTAATTATATATAGATGGCTTCCGGAGGACAGCATGGTTCGGGTGATGCCCACTTGGGAACCTGACCTCACACCTTCTCTAAAAACCAGAAAGGGGAAATATTCAAAAACAAAAACAGAACCATTATGCATTATGCAAGGTTCTGCCTTTGTTTTTGAATCTCTCTTCATTTTTTCCTTCCTGGTAGGAAGCATTACTTGTTATGGAACCAGTCCAGATCTATTTGTTTCTGCAGACAAGATGAGGTTAGCACAGATACATAGGTCTATCCCTTTATTTTGTGTGTGGAATGAAGGTAACTACCCACCACCATTCTTTTTTTTTTTTTTTTTTTTTTGACAGGCAGAGTGGACAGTGAGAGAGAGAGACAGAGAGAAAGGTCTTCCTTTGCCGCTGGTTCACCCTCCAATGGCCGCCGCGGCCAGCGCGCTGCAGCCGGCGCACTGCACTGATCCGATGGCAGGAGCCAGGAGCCAGGTGCTTTTCCTGGTCTCCCATGGGGTGCAGGGCCCAAGCACCTGGGCCATCCTCCACTGCACTCCCTGGCCACAGCAGAGGGCTGGCCTGAAAGAGGGGCAACCGGGACAGAATCCGGCGCCCCGACCGGGACTAGAACCCGGTGTGCCGGCGCCGCAAGGCGGAGGATTAGCCTAGTGAGCCGCAGCGCCGGCCAACCCACCACCATTCTGATAAATAGCTCTGGCACCACTCCTGTCTTGTCTAAATGCGATAAACTTTGCAGCACATACAGTAATTAATCATGAAGTACTTAAAAAAATACTGGTCAAATTGCCTTTGGTTTTTAATTTTTCTTCATTTCTTTCAATAATTATTTCATGTTCATTTAGACTCAGCAGGGCAGTTTTCAAATCCAGTGGAATTATATTTGCTTTAGGGAGAGGAGTTGTCTTTCTTTTGACAAAAGATTTCATTTCATTTCAGTTTAATCACTGTACAGTTTGACCAGAACTCAGTAAACCAAGCTCTTTTAAATGATTAAGATTATGATCCATTGATTTATCTCTTTTGGGGTATATATGCCATCTAAATTACAGCATATAAAGTTGAAGGAATGGCATGTCTTGGAAACAGAGTGAACCCTCCTTCATAGTTGTGTTTTGTTTTGTTTTGTTTTGTTTTGTTTTGTTTAACATGACAGGCAGAGTTAGAGAGAGAGACAGAGAGAAAGGTCTTCCCTCTGTTGATTCACCCCTCAAATGGCCGCCACGGCCGCCACGCAGCACTGATCCGAAGCCAGGAGCCAGGTGCTTCCTCCTGGTCTCCCATGTGGGTGCAGGGCCTAAGCACTTGGGCCATCCTCCACTGTACTCCCGGGCCACAGCAGAGAGCTGGACAGGAAGAGGGGCAACAGGAACAGAATCCAGCGCCCCAATTGGGCCTAGAACCCAGAGTGCCAGCGCCACAGGCGGAGGATTAGCCTCGTGAGCTGCAGCGCTGGCCTCCTTCATAGTTTTAAGATGGATAAAATAGAGAATGGTGGTCTGGAGTTGAAAAGGCAAACTGACTCTTCCCACTTCTTTGTTCATAGATTTGCTTGAGTGTTTTAAATTTTAGTGAAATGTACTTGAATTGCAGCATACTGAATATTAGAACAATGTTAGGAGACCATTTTTAAAATACAGTTTATTGCATAACTTGTTACATTCTTTTTAAGATTTTTATTTATTTGAGAGGTAGAATTACAGACAGAGAGAGGGAGAGACAGAAAGGTCTTCCATCCGCTGGTTCACTCCCCGAATGTCCGCAATAGCCAGGGCTGGGCCCATCTGAAGCCAGGAGCCAGAAGCGTCTTCCAGGCCTCCCACTTGGGCCATCTTCTGCTGCTTTCCCAGGCCACAGCAGGGAGTTTAATCAGAAGAGGAGTAGCCTGGACTAGAACTGGCACCCGTATGGGATGCCAGCGCCCCAGGTTGAGGATTAACCCACTACACCACAATGCTGGTCCCATAGTTTATTACCTTCTTACAATGATTTTAAAAATGATTTATTTTTAAATAATTTAATTTGAGAAGCAGAAATACAGAGAGAGAGAGAGATACGGCATGAGCTACCACCCACTGGTTCATTCCCCCAAACGCCTGTAATTGTCAGGGCTGGGCCAGGCTAACACCAGGATCCTGGAACTCAGTCTGTGTCTCCTACCAGGGTGACAGGGAGCCAACTACGGAACCTTACCTGCTACCTCCCAGGCTGTGATTGGCTGAAAGCTGGAGTCAGGAGCAGGGTCAGGACTTGAATCCAGGCACTCTAATATGGGATATGGACATCCCAAGTGGCAACTTCACTGCCAGGCCAAACATACAACCTAAAATGATGATTTAAAATTCATTTACAGGCTGAATATTTTTCCCTCCTATAGGCATATACCCCCAATTTTATCCAAGTGTTTCAGGTATTATTTTATAACACTAACTTATTTAATAATCTGTTACCTATGCCAGGAATAGATCTAAGTGATGTACAAATGTTAGCTCATTTAGTCCTCATACAGTCCAGTGGGTAGAGACTATTTTCCTCGTTTTACAGATGAGGAAACTGAGGCCCTGAACTGCTTCATAACTTGTCCCTAGGTCACACAGCTGATAAGTGGCAGAGCTGGGCCTCAAGGCTTCTGAATCCCATGTTCCTCTTCACCACGTCGCAAGGGTCAACTATCCTAAGACAAAATGGGCATGCCTACCATCATAGTTTGCAAAGTAATTTTAAATGTGATTTTGAACATGTTTCATGGGTATTTTGTTGCCTAGAACATTAGAAAGGACATGTATAAATATGTGAATTCTATACTGCACTTCTTTTTATATTTGATTTGCTAGGAAGCTCATAGGTGTTATATTCTGAGTTTCATGTGTATTATTTACCTTCCCAAAGAGCTCATCTTGCTATGACTTCTACAATGATCTTAATCACAAGATCAAACAAAAAGAAGCGAAGAATCTGTTATGTCTCAAAATTTAAAAAAAAAATACACTGACTGTACATTAGAACTAATGCACAGGAACTCAGTGAAAGCCTTTTTTCTGTTTTATCAGGGAACAAGTGAACTCTTAGGCATTTTAAAGTTGGATTTAAACATTCAGAGTACATATCAGAAATGAACACCTTACTCAGTGCTATGAGCTACAAAGAGAAATGAGATACTGAACGTCAGAGAAGCATCTCCTGGTGGGGGACCAGAAAGCACAGGCAAGACTGGCGCGGGAGGGCTTTACAAATAGCAGGTTGGCCTGGAGTTCAGACGTGGTGGTGCTGTCATTCTTCTTTACACTTTCTATATGTTTGAAAAAGTTTTAAGTACTTGGCAAATGAAAGTGTTCAGAGATTCCAGGATCTGCAGAGGGAGATGAGTTTTGATTGGGAGTTGCTGGGAAGGCTGCCTCGAGGTGGGAATTGGTGTAAGCAGGAAAGAAATCAGACACTCCCCTAGTCGAGGATCAGCACCATAGGAAAGGAAGGGAAACGCAGCTGGGGGCTGAAGAGAAAGACCGGAAAGAACATGGGACCTGAGCAGCTCCTTGAAGTTTACTCATTTCACTTCTTCCTCAGAGCCTGCAGTGCCACTCGTCTATTCAGGGACGTCGGTCAGTGCGAGGCTCTTTGTAGGTCAGATGTACGACCTGAGGGAGGCAGCTGTTAACTTTGAAAACTGCTTTTCCCCCAAACTAATGTATGCTGTTGTTAGCTGGTTACCGACGCTGAGCAGATAGAAGTCTGTGTACCTTAGAAAACGTTGAATCTTTAGGTATCTTTCTGTAGTAAAATCCAGCTGTCCACTGTGTATGAGCTAGTATTGTTCAGAATATTTCATCAATACTCACTCCTGCAGACAACACCACCTTCCTAAGGCTCGGAGGACGCGGAAGACCTCTGGTAGAGCTTCCCTGTGCACCTGACGTGGGGCAGTCAGTAACCACACGGTTTAAACAGCGTTTCTCTTTAAACATTTCGTGTGAAGTGGTCATGAGAAACAGGATAGGATCCTTTTAAATCACATGATATTTGGGAAGCATAAGTAAGAGTATTTAATGATTCTTTGAAATTGCATATTTTCAGAGTCTTCTGCAAGCAACATGCTTCTGAATCACGAACCATGGCGCAAAGTGGTAAGTTGCTAACATTTTGCTGCTGTGAGTTTTAAAGAAAGATGAATGATTGGTTTATTACCAAATTTTGAGTTAAAATTCTAAGTACCTATAAAATTAGCAATTTCTTTGTGCAATGTGTGATTTAATTGAATTTTGTTCTTCGTGAATAGACATAGTTTTCTCTGACGTGTTCTCTGGTATCTTTCATCATCACTGCGCTCAAAGAATCAAACTGAGACATTTCTAAAAAACGTTGACTTCTGTGAATGCTCCTGTTCTATCAGAGCACTAGAATCTTCAGAAGATGAAATGAAATGAATCAAGTGTTGCACGTCCCCTGAATGAAAATTTCCAGAGGATGCCTGGTTAGCATCTCAGCTGTAGCTGAGGCAGATTGGATCCTGGCTAAAGGAGTTGTGGGATGCACACTCGTTCTGGAGCAGCACCGTGTAGTTCCAGAACAGCAGTGTCTCACAGCCCTGACTGCCTGCTCACTGAACTGCAGTCAGGGTGGGTTTGAGAAAGGCGGCTCTGTACTGGACCAGCTGCATTTCCTGATATAGACAACACTGTAAATGTCTCTACCCTCTTTTCTTACTCCATTTAGCCTTTTAATTCATCAGGAAATATTATGACAAAAGACTGTTCTCAATCAATGTTTATTGACAGGAAAATATGACAATAATATATCTTTTTTTTAAGATTTATTTATTTATTTGAAAGTCAGAATTACACACAGAGAGGGGAGAGGCAGAGAGAGAGAGATCTTCCATCCGATGGTTCACTCCCCAATGGGCCACAACAGCCGAAGGTGCGCCATCCGAAGCCAGGAGCCAGGAGCTTCCTCTGGATTGTTTTTTTTTTTTTTTTTTTTTTTAATTTATTAGCTGGTGCCGCGGCTCACTAGGCTACTCCTCCGCCTTGTGGTGCCGGCACACTGGGTTCTAGTCCCGGTCTGGGTGCCGGATTCTGTCCCGGTTGCCCCTCTTCCAGGCCAGCTCTCTGCTGTGGCCAGGGAGTGCAGTGGAGGATGGCCCAAGTGCTTGGGCCATTTTCCACTGCTATCCCAGGCCACAGCAGAGAGCTGGATCAGAAGAGGAGCAGCCAGGACTAGAACTGACACCCATATAGGATGCCGACACTTCAGGCCAGGGCTTTAACCCACTGTACCACAGTGCCGGCCCCTACAATAATATATCTTTTTTTTTTTTTTTTTTTTTGACAGGCAGAGTGGACAGTGAGAGAGAGAGACAGAGAGAAAGGTCTTCCTTTGCCAGTTGGTTCACCGCGGCAATGATGGCTGGTGCGCTGCGGCCGGCGCACTGCACTGATCTGAAGGCAGGAGCCAGGTGCTTCTCCTGGTCTCCCATGGGGTGCAGGGCCCAAGGACTTGGACCATCCTCCACTGCATTCCCAGGCCACAGCAGAGAGCTGGCCTGGAAGAGGGGCAACCGGCAAAGAATCCGGTGCCCCGACCGGGACTAGAACCTGGTGTGCCGGCGCCGCAAGGCGAAGGATTAGCCTATTGAGCCGCAGCGCCGGCCAATAATATATCTTTTAAAGTCCAGATTATAACACTGTTGTAAAATGAATCCTTTCCCCCTAGAGGAAACTGTTGCTGTTCCTTTTGAATTCTTCTAGAAGCAGTTTGTGTATGTAAACACACCTATTACTGTATGTTGTCTTTATAACCTCATACATCACAGAGTTCCTTGCACATCAACACAAGTGGAATCCTCCTGTTTTAAAGGCTGCATAATATCCCATTGTGTAACTGTAACAACAGTTATTTATTTATTTTTTGCTTTAAGATTTATTTTTTATTTGAAAGGCAGAGCTACAGAGAGGCAGAGGCAGGGCAAGGGAGCAGGGAGGGAATCTTCCATCCACTGATTCACTCCCCAGATGACCACAACACCTGGAGCTGAGCTGATCTGAAGCCAGGAGCCAGAAGCTTCCTCCAGATCCCCCACATGGGGGTGCAGGGGCCCAAGGACTTGGGCCATCTTCCACTGCTTTCCCAGGCCATAGCAGAGAGCTGGATCAGAAGTGGAGCAGCCAGGTCTTGAACCGGCGCTCATATGGGATGCTGGTGCTGCAGGTGGTTGCTTTATCTGCTATGCCACAGTGCTGGCCCTACAATAGTTCTTGTTCACCACTTGATGGACACTTAGGTTCTTTCCAGTTCTGTTAAATTTAACCTTCAGTTAACACTGTTCTTCATGTAGGTTTGTGCCTCACTGTAGGCATAAGGAAAATTTCCTCTGAGTAGAACTGCTTATTTGGATGATAGGAACAATGAATCTTTGGGTAACTCTTGGCCAGTTTCCCCCCCGAGAAGCTGTACAGCAGTACAGTCCCCCAGAGCTTTGGGAACATTGCCTAGCACGCATCTCCTTCCATTCAATAGGTGGAAACCCCTCTCTTCTGTACATATATTCCTGTATCTTTTCACAAATTAGATTTTTTCTCCTGTGACCTAGTTTGTTCATTATTCTGTTCAGTGAGCCCTATCCCCTGAAGATCCCCAGCTCCTCACCCCTTTTTCTACCTATTTACCTTTCTCCTATTGACGTATAAAGATCTTTTTCTGCATTAAAAATTGACTGTTGTATCTGCTGAAAACATTTAGTATAAGTTTACCATACCTTTTGACTTTGTAATAACTTTTGACATATAAGAGTTTTGTATTTTATGTCATCAAACAGTAATATCACCCATTCGAATTTTTTAATGTTTATGTTTTTAACTGATTGTGCAGGAATGAAAATGAAGAAAGGAAGAAAGAGACGTCTCTCAGCAGACATTCATGTGCCGGTGATTTTTTAAATTATTTTTTCCCCAGAAACCTTTTATTTAAGGAATATAAACTTCATGCGTTTCATAAATACAACTTCAGAAACAGTGATTCTTCCCTCTATGCCCACCCCCCCACACTTTTTCCTCATTCCTCTCCTATTCACATTCTTTCTTTTTACTATTTTTTTAAAGATTTTATTTATTTGAGAGGTAGAGTTAGAGAGAGAGAGAGAGAGAGAGAAAGGTCTTCCTTCCATTAGTTCACCCCCCAAATGGCTGCAGTGACTAGAGCTGCGCCGATCTGAAGCCAGGAGCCAGGCACTTCCTCCTGGTCTCCCATGCGGGTGCAGGGCCCAAGTACCTGGGCCATTCTCCACTGCCCTCCCGGGCCACAGCAGAGAGCTGGACTGGAAGAGGAGCAACAAGGACTAGAACCAGTACCCATATGGGAAGCCGGCGCCACAGGCAGAGGATTAACCTAGTGTGCCATGGCGCCGGCCCCTAAGATCTATTTTCAATTAACTTTATACACATACAATTAACTCTATGTTAAGAGTTCAACAAGTAGTATGAAAAAAATAAAAACTGTTCCTCAGCATTCAAGACAGGGCTGTTCAAAGTCATTGTATCTTGGAGTGTTGATTTCACTTCTATAGATTACCTTTTAGGTGCTGTATTAGTTGTCACAGGTCAGGGAGAACATATGGTATTTGTCCTTTTGAGACTAGCTTATTTCACTAAGTATGACATTTTTCAGTTTCATCCATTTAGTTGCAAATTACTAAATTTTCCTTTGTTCTTTTTTTACCATTGTGTAGTTCCATGGTGTATACATCCTATAATTTCTTTATCCAATCTTCAGTTTACAGGCATTTGAGTTGGTTCCATATCTTAGCTATTGTGAATTGAGCTGCTATAAATATGGGGGTATAGATAACTCTTACATATGCTGATTTAATTTCCCTTAGATAAATTCCCAGGAGTGGGATGGCTGGGTCATATACTAGGTCTGTATTCAGATTTCTGAGGTATCTCCATACTGTCTTCCACATTGGCTGTACCAGTTTACATTCACACCAACAGTGGATAGGGTACCTCTTTCCCCATCTCCTCACCAGCATTTGTTGTTTGTTGATTTCTGTATGAAAGCCATTCTAACTGGGATGAAGTGAAACCTCATTGTGGTTTTGATTTGCATTTCCCTGACAGCTAGTGATCCTCAGCATTATTTCAAGTGTCTACAGGCCATTTGGATTTCCTCTTTTGAAAAATGTGAATGTCCTTTGCCCATTTCTTAACTGCGTTGTTGTTGTTAAGTTTCTTGATCTCTATATATTCTAGTTATTAATCCTTTATCAGTTGCATAGTTTGCAAATAATTTCTCTCATTGTCAGTTGCCTCTTCACTTTGCTGAGTGTTTCTTTGGCAGTGCAGAAGCTTCTCAATTTGACATAATCCCATTTGTCAATTTTGGCTTTTATTGCCTGTGTCTCTGGGGTTTTTTTCAAGAACTCTTTGCCAATGTCTTTCCTATTTCAATGTCTTATAGGGTTTCCCCAATGCACTCTAATAATTTGATGGTATCGGGTTGTAAATTTAGGGCTTTAATCCACTAGGAGTGGGTTTTTCTGTAAGGTGTAAGGTAAGGGTCTTGCTTCATACTTAATGCATGCGGAGATCCACTTTTCCACATCATTTGTTGAAGAGACTGTCCTTCCTCAAGGCATTGATTTAAGCTCCTTTGTCAAAGATAAGTTGGTTGTAGATGCATGGATTGGTTTCTGGCATTGCTATTCTGTTCCAACTGTCCATCCATCTGTTTTTGTACCAGTACAAGGCTGTTTTGATTATGACTGCCTTGTAATATGCCTTGCAATCTGGTATTGTGATGCATCTGGATTGTTTTTTTTTTTTTTTAATTTATTGGCCGGCACCGCGGCTCACTAG